CCACTCACACTTCAAGGTAGATCTAGGCGATCCACAATACTTTCCAAGCTTCTCAAACGTCTGATACATCACTGTTCCACTCTCTTCTCCAAGAGACTCAAATGTCCTCTCCCTGCACCCATAGTCTTCCAAGTCTACAGAGATCTCTGGCTTGTACGCGTTTACTCCAACGCTCGAGTGCACTGCCACAGAGAATTGCTTGGGCTCAAAGCAAGAAAGAACCCTTGTCACCAGCTGGCTCAGGTCCATAGTGTTGAAGTCGTAACCTGCGGTTTCAAAGCTAGCATAGCTAAACCCATCTTCAGGGGTCACATGGATAGTGGAGATTGCATCTCCTTCAATCGAGTTCATAGAGTAGCCGCACGGCTCGAATTCAAAGTCGCAGATCTGGGACTTGGGAAGGATCTTTCTGATTCCAGAGTTGTCGGTCATGGATCCGTTCTCGCCAGTTTCATTCTTGTAGAAGACAGAAGCTTTCTCTCTGTCTAGACCAGTCATGCACATCTCGAGCGTGTAGACATTGTTGTTGCAGTTGCTGGAGCCCTGGGCAGAGGCGGCATAGACATGCCATTTCTTGGTCTCGTCGCCATTGCCCATCAAGTACGCAACGCTGTTAAAGCCGAGCTTTGAAAAGTGACCATCAAGAACTGAGACTTCTTCAGAGAAGCTCCGGTGAGGAAAAGGCTGGCCTCCAGGACAGAGGAAGGAGCCACGAGTGTACTTGACAGATTTGACACTCAGAGAGAGCTCACCGGCCAGCTTAAGAAGCGGCGGGATAGAGAGGAGGAGCTTCGTGGTACCACAAGTCTTGATGATGACTTTGTATGGGTAGACAAAGAAGCTGGACTCAGAGAGTACGTAAGAGTCCAATAGATCGTTGGAGAGAGATGAGACGATCGTGCATGCAGCAGGAGTGAGTATTTCGTCCAGCTGGGACTTGGTCAGAGCACGGAGACCCAGTCTCTTGGAGTCTTGAAAGAAGCTTGGCTCAAAGAAAGAAACCTCGAGCCGCTTCTCGTAACCTTCGAAACCGATTGCAGATAAAGCCATTTCGCCTTGTTGTGTGATTGACAGGACTTGGAGGAAAGAACGATTGGATTCGGGAACCAGCAGAAACAGAGCCTCGACAGAAGAAAATTATACAACTGGAAATTAAAGAAAGCTATAACTATATTAGAAGTCTCGGTGCACGCTGGTACTCAGGATGGCCTCTTAGCGCACTGCAACAAAATAAAAAACACAAATGTTAAGAGACTTTAACAGATTGAGTAACACAAAGATCGAACAAAAACAAGATAATCTGAAGAATAAACTCACGTTTGAGTAGACAGAAGATTTGAATTTCTTGATTCCACCGTTTGGACGAACGTCTTCAATGCTGTAACCGAGGGGAGCTTCGTAAAATAAGGAACTACTACTGCTAGACTTCTTTTTACCACCTTTTGACTCCATCATAATCTCATTCACACTGCAATAAAGAAGAAACAAAACCAAAGGTTAGATTACAAGGAACCATGTATACATGCAGATTCAATGTTCAAAGTTGAAACTTTCAATTACAGATCTCAAATAAACGTTTCAACTCTAACAATTACAAAGCATAACGGATTATTATTAGACTGCGCATGATTAAATTATCTTTTTAGATCTACAACTATGAACCTAAGATTACCTCCAATCCTTAATCTATGCATATGTTAAACAATTTCAATCGAAACCTAAGTCGTTTGTTCCAGATACATAATCAATCATGACATGCATATGAATATAGATCTCTTTCAGAATTATGAATCTCTTATAAAAAAACCTAACCAAGGACAATATAATCAAATCGAAAACGTAGGTCAAACAGAAGAAACTTACATATATATATGAATTTAGATCTAGACCGAAAATTATGAATCCCTTGTTTTCAGAAGCCTCTTTTTTCCAGATATCAAACGAAACCCTCAAACCTGAAATCGAAACAAACCCAGAATTCTTCCATAAGAAAACAAGTTCGGATCTACGAAAGAGAAATCGAAAGAAAACTATAGATCTACAAGACAAAAAGAAACTCACCAGATCGAGATGATAATTCAGGAAACCGCAAGAATTTGAACAAATTTCGTAAAAGAGAAAATTTAAGAAAACCCTAATTTGAGAGAACGTTTAAGATGATTTGGTAATGATGAGGCAATTGAGATGCGTTCGTGAGGAGAAAAAGCAACGTAGAATGACTCCTTTATATAATACCCTAAAGGTTATGTCCACCTCCTCGGAAATGACGTGTTTACCCTTTTGCCTTTAATAAAAGGTTTTTGCGTGAAAGCGATTCTCAACCATTGATTTTATTTCCAACAAATTTGCCGTTTTCGAGGTTTTACCTAAATTACCCTTAAACCCTTTTCTTATGTTGAAACGGTAGGTGGGTGCGTGAATCACGATTCCTGACCACACAAAAATAGCAACAATTAAAAATAGGGAAATATGTAGCCAATTACTTTTCGCCGAAAGAAGGAAAAATAGTTGTAATCTACATGAAATATGGGGTAATATGTATAAAATTATCCGAAATATAAAAATCTGTTTTAAACTACACTAATTTATAAAAATGTGTTTTAAACTATACGAAATATGAAAAAACATATTACAAATAACATATTGGGTTTTTAAATCTTAAAACATGATTTGAGGGTCAAATTGTAATTAAATTTTCTTAAATCTGATTTAATCAAATATCCGACCTGACCACTAAAAAACTTTCATGTGGCTCATTTGCATTTTGTATTTGGTTATAAACCATGTGAGTTTTATTGCAAAGTGATTGAGTTATATTCTGTTGGAATTACGTTTGAAATCTGTATAGGAGTTTTGGACTAGATTAGGTTTCCATTTTTGTTGTTTTGATTGTTCATATATGTTGGCTTCCAAACTATGATAAACACGTCATGGGTTCTTCCTCCTATCTTTCACGTCATGCCCATCTATATTCCTAACACTCTGTTCATCCAATTTCCTCAAATCAATAACACTACGATCTTACTTTTGAAAACGAAATGGCGTGTTTAATATTGTATAACCAGTTTTCAAATTTTAGCCAAGTATTCTGATTAAAATATCAAAATATCGTTAGTTATCATTGTATTTGTTTTCTTTTGCTAAAATTACTTGGTTAAGTTTGTTTTTGGTTTGAAAACCGTTAAAAACGGATAGACTAAATTGTTATGTTTATTATTCAAACTAACGATATTTTGATATTTTAACCAACTATAAGTTATATTGTTTGCTTTGTTTTCTCTGTTTCCACATAATTCACGACATTTGTATATATGTCTTCGTTTTTGTGTTTTAGAAAAATGTTGGTTCAAATTAATATGACCCAGTTAAAATGATAATCTGAATCGGGTCGGGTTAAGTGATTGATCGGGTCGGACATTTGATTAAATCGGATTTAAAAAAATTTAATTACAATTTGGCTCTAAAATCACGTTTTAAGCTTTAAAAATCTAATTTTATAAGTTAGTGTAGTTTAAAACATATTTTTATATTTTAGATAATTTTTTACATATTATCCGGGTAGATTACAACAATTTTTTCCGGAAACAATGTATTACTATTTTCTTTTGCCACTAGGAATTTTATTTTATTTTGTGTTTTAAGAAAATACTATTTTTTTGACGTTATCTTGGGGCCGAGCATAACAACATTACTAGATTGGCATACACGCTATTAGAAAAAACCGAAGAAAGAGGACAGTAGTAACCAGTCAAATTACGACACGTGTAAAGATACGTGTACCGTTTGAGCAGATAACTTAAAGTGAGTTGTCATGTTCGATGGACCCTAGAGAATCAAATTCTATTTCTCAAAGGCTCTCAACTACTCCACTAAATGACAAAAGAAACCCTCCCGTGACTCACCGAGTCATGACCCCATTTGTCTCAAAACTACTTACAAATTTTGAGTGAGCACTAATTAACATTGAAATTTGTAGTCAAAAGTGGAGTGATTTAAATATGTAGATTTTGTATAAACATTGCCCCATGATGACCCCATGTTGTCTCAGTAACAACACATTTTAATGTGCTTAAAAGTAAAACCTATCAACATTGACCATATGTAATTATTCTAGTCAAAAGTGGAATGATTTGATTTTGTAGAAACATGCACTTTTGTATTATTCAGAACTACTGAATTTTTTTTATAAAATAAAATGATTTTACCTTTCACATTAATAATGAGATTTTTTCTACAACCACAAGTCTCTATCTACATAGCTGGAGCATTACCTTCTTTACCAAGAAGTTGCTAAAAAGAATCAGAGAGTTAGTGCTAAGAAATTCTCTCCCAACTTGACAAATATGACGAAAGAAGAATATATATTCCAACAAGAAAAAGATATGGATGAGAAAAGAATTTGATTCCAATCTGGTTCTGGTTATTGCCAAACCGGTTTTCCTACGGTTGAACCGGTTTGGTTATAGTCTTCTCATAATCCAGTTTCAGTTCTTCCAAACGCTTTGATACCTGGTATGAACAAATCAAGCATTACTGCCACAATTGTTAATTAACTCAAGAAAAAGCTTAGAGATTTACCAACAGAATTAACAACATCAATGACTCAATTGTTCACTTCTAGAAGTAAGATAGAATTATCCATCACATTAATCATGTCGATATCGCGAATCTGATTCACAACGTGTTAAAAGTTCCCGAGGAGAGTTATCGAAACCAGAGGATAAAAGAGAACGCTTTCACTTTACGAAAGAGAAAGAGAACCTTAATGGAGTAAGCCAATGGAAGCAAGATATCCGGATTCATTGCATCTTCAGGGAAAGTTTTCAGAGCATGTATGAGTTTTTCAAACGGTAGCTTAACCTGCAGAGTTAATTGGATACAAATTTTTTAAAACTCGGTTTTGCGAAATTAACTTGCAGCTTGTTAAAGAAAAAGAACTTCACTAACCAGCTCATCTTGGCAATAATTCAACAATGCTAAGCCGACTTTGAACACAATTTTAACACCCTAAAGAAAATGACCAAAGAATAAGACTTTGATTAGAACAAATACTGAAAGAAGATGTTAACGATGAGAATTTAAGTACCTCCGAGAGAAACACATCCCATATCCGTAGAGCCAAAGGGAAAGGAAATGAATAAGAGAAGACGGTGATGAACCATTGACTTGCATACATACTCGGATTGATCATTTCTTGACTGAAATGTTCTCCGAGCTTTGGTATTAGCTCTCTTACCAAGCTTTCTAACTGAAACAGGTATTGCTGTACAAGTGGAAGCCCTGCCTATATTAACACAAACAATGGATCTTCGATTATAAAAAGTATAACCTTTATAACGTTTTCTCAATCTAGAAATAGATGAAATGTGGATATTTCTGCGTCAAAGATATTAACCCAGTACGATCAATACAATAGCCTTTTGTGTTAGATAGCCCCTTCATAATTATAGAAGACGAAAAAATCTCACCAGAATCGACAAAGAAGTTTTAAAGGTGGTCACAAACTCTAATTCACGCACGAAATAAGGTTTTTTCTATAAACTATAAGTCATTTTCTTACAATCTTATAATGATTAGAAAGACTTACATGATACAACCCTTCCATTGGAGCATGAACAGCTCCTTTGAGTAATGCAACTAATAACCAGAACGCATCTTCTTCGCTCATATAAAGAAGCAACAAACCGGCTATAAAACCCATCCCCTGCATTTGCAAGAATCATGAATTTTGGTACAACAATATCGTAAGAAAATAAGACACAAAGAGATATATCTCAGAAGATAGACCTGAACATATCCAACATCTCTATCATAAACTGAGTATGCCTTAAGGACATTGTACAACGATCTTTGTCCAGGTCCATGTCTCTTCTGAAAGAAAACATGTGATGGGAATGTACGGGATATGTCTCGAATGATATCAAGTTCTGATGCCGATGTTTCATAAATCACCAATTGCTGCATAGAAAAATTGACACACTTATTAGAGAATATCACTCATAAGAGCAAACATCAAGATATAAAACGGAGAAACTACCTCATAAACACCAGGATTCATAAGCAAAAGGTCCCGACTTCCTGAGATTAACTGCCAAACAAGACCTCTTAAACAATCCGGGATCCCTTTTCGTATACGCCTTTTGACAACATTAGGTTTTCTTCTAACATAATGCTTCCAATCACTACCTCCAACCCCAATCATCTTCCTCCATTTTCTCAACTTTCTCTCCTCTCTATAGCCAACAACAAAAACACAT